GGGGGGGTTACGCACTATGCAGAGCAATACTGTTCGTGGGATTTATCTAAAATTAATATCAGAAAATTCTTTTTGACTTCCAAATGTTGTGTTCGAATTTGAAACGCAAAACGTCGTGTGGAGGACAATATTAACAAACAAAAAACTTGTACAGTTATTTTTGTATCACCCTGTATAATAGTATTGACGATGGCATACGTCAAGTAATTTTAAAATGTTACACCTCTTTGATTGTAATGCGCATTGAGCTTTTTCTTTTTAGAAAATGGACAAGTGCAGCACCAATGCTGTTTATCATTATTATTATTATTATTATTATCATCATTATTATTATTATTATCATTATTATTATCATTATTATTATTGTTGTTATTAATATTGTTATTAATATTATTATTATTATTATTATTATTATTACTATTATTGTTACAATAATTATTACAATTGTTGTTGTTGTTGTTGTTGTTGCTACAGCTGTTACTGACAATAGTTGTTTCATCATAACAATTAAACAAGAGCTTACCTGTGCAATTCGTCCCACAGTCTCCGTTCTTGAGGTCAGCAAACGATGGGTAGATGATGATCTTTTCTTCAGCGGTGAAAACTCCCACCCCAGCGTCTCTCGAAATGCGACGGAAGATGGCTTGGGGCATCTTCTTGACCATTCTGGCTACTGTCGAGGCCGCCATCCGCACAGAGCGCATCTGTACCAACAGGTAATTATACGTGTTTAAGACTAGACGCTAACAAACTCAGAGAGCGTAATAAGAACGCACAGGTTTAAGTCACAGAGGACGCACATTTATTTGTTTTAGTAGTAGGAGTTTTACGGCATTTGCAACACCATAGGGTCATATATGTGCCGAAGATTAAAGGTGTAGTATGAGAGTAAAAAACACAAAAAGAAAGAGGAGGGATCAGGACGATAGACGTTTGATAGGAAAGAAGGAACAAACCACATCCGAGCACCCGCAAACCACCCGTTACGCGCCTTCTGGCCATTCGAACGCGTGTAGGAGCTACCCTTTGGAGTACTGAAGTTGAAGGAATCATAACCACGTTATTCATACAGATTTTTAAACTCAATTTACTTTTTCTAAAACTTGAAACGGCAAGCAACAACATGTTTACTATAAAATGTTCAAATTCGTCTTTCTGATTAGTGTATATTATAAGTCCAAAATGTGCCAAAACATTGCCTTTGCTCCTCTGCTGTTCTTTTCACGCTATAATAGCGTCGATACTCTATTGGTTAGGCTACCAGAATCATAATCGTGAGGCTGTGGGTTCGGTGATTCCTCGTTAAGCTCTTCCAGCCGTTGTGTCCTTATGGTAGGCACCAAACAGTTCACTCAGATTAGAATGGGTACCCGTCTAGATGGTGAAAGATCTTTTCAGTGTGTTAATGAGGCAAGGCAGGGATAGGGAAAGTGGAAAGTGTTTGTTCGTGGCCTATACCCTGATGCAGGGAAAGAAAGGCAATGATGATTATTGTTAGTGGTTGAGCTCTTAACTGACTGCTTGCACTGCATGCCCCCCAAAAAGCCGAGAATGTCTCTGAGTGTACTGAGGTCTGCTGAGGTAGTAATAGTTGTAAAGCGCACAGCGCATGCTGCTTAGCAAGGACACATAATAATATGCGGTATATAAATGCATTTTTAATAATAATATTATTGCATGGTTATTCAAGAGAGAGGCTTGTGGGTAGTTGTGGGGTGCTCTGGTGTGGTTTGCTCCCTCTTTCCTATCAAACATCTATCTTCCTTATCTCCACCTTTTTCGCGTTTGTTACTGTCTTGAAACACCTGTAATCTTTGGCAGCCTTTAATACTATCCAGCCAGCTATCATTTTAAAGAAATTAAAAAACATAGGTGTTATCGTCAATTTAATATCATGGTTTGGCAATTTTCTTACCAACCGAACCCAGTATGTAAAATTAAAACATTCCTCATCAACATACATTACAACAAATACAGGGGCCCCTCAAGAATGTGTTTTGTCACCAGTTTCATTCACACTATACACGAACTATTGTCAAATACACAACAGTAACATCAAGATGATAAAATTTGCGGATGACTCAACCATAATAGGGCTAATTCAGGTTGACCATAACCAAACCGCTTACCGGAATTTCGTTCTTAACTTTTCTGATCGGTGTGAAAATCATAAGCTGTTTTTAAATGTAAAAAACCCCCAAAGAACTTGTTGATTTCAGAAAAAAAAGAAACTGTCCCTGCAGCCACTCGAAAATAAATGTGAAAACATCGAGCTAGTGTCAGATTATAAGTGTTTGGGTGTTACAATAGACAACAAACTCAACAAGCGTGTCCACACTTCTCTCCTGCTTAAAAAAGTGAACAAAAGACTATTTTATTTCTAAGTAAGCTCATGTATTTTGAAGTTGATAAAACATTGATGTCCATTTTCTATCATTCAACCATAGAATATATTACCAATTTTTGTGTAACAGCATGGGCCAGGAACACAAGACAACAAGATAAAGAAAAACTAAATCGACTAATACGGAAAGCATGCAAAATTTCAACATCTACATTCCTCTACTTGAATGAATTGTACATAACAGCTTGCGCTAAAAAAAAATAGCTTCATCTTTTTGGACAACAAACATCCCTTGTTCCCTTAAATAAAATAAAAAGTCAGTCATAAGTAAAAGACCTAGGCTTCTGATCTGTACCAAAGAAAGACACACAAGGTCATTTTTACCATCATTATCAAAATTCTTCCATCTTAACCATCTTGTATAAGTATTCATATGACCTAAGATCGAGCATGCATCAGAATAACATTGAGTATGTATCTAACTAGTGATTATTATTGTTTATATAGCAGCTCATTTATATTATGCATGTGATTGTAAGCCTGTGCGCGTGTGTGTGTGTGTGTGTGTGTGTGTGTGTGTGTGTGTGTGTGTGTGTGTGTGTGAGTGTGTGAGTGTGTGTGTATGTGTGTGTGTGTGTGTGTTTGTATGTGCGTACACGTGGTGAAACACCAAACCATTGTGCCATGATCTGGACAATAAAGATGTATCTTATCTTATTTTACCTATTGTGTTACATGTGCCATAAAACGCCAAACTCTCCACTATTAGTTTTATCTGGTTAACAAAAGAAGGTTTTGTAGGTAAAACTACAGCTTATGATTTTTCATTTTCTTAAACAATTCTTTACCTTTAAATTTCCCTTGCATGAACATTTTATCTTGTCTGTATATACAGATGCAAATGGAAACCTTTCACCAGTGAAAGGGTCATAAAGACTTAATTGCCCATCTTTCATTCGGCGGCTGCTGTTTTAGTATCACTTAACTAGCTACGCCACTGTCTTACCTCACTGTATTGTTCCGCAGTAAGACACGTACCTGGGTCTTGGGGCTTCCTGACACTTCTATTGTGTCTCCTGGTGCACCTGAACTGTTGACCAGAGAACCGTTGTTTGTGACGTAGATGTATTTGAAGCCTGGTGGAAGAGGAGCCTTGCCTTCGTCAATGCTCACAGCTTTCTGCCTGGCGATGACGCTAGCGCGCAGGAGGTGACGTGGTTGATATACAATGCCCCCTTCCTTCTCTTTGATGGAGGCGGACACGACAGCATTTTGAGCTTATTGTAGGTGAGAGGAGTATAAAAAAGTGTTAGTACGAGTTTTACTTTTTTACTTTACATTTTGCTTATCCCTTAGTCTAAGATGACCGTTGGGGCACCAAGGATTGTCGAGCAACCACTTTTCTCCACCCTTCTTCATTTTCAGCCTTTCAAAAGGTTTTACTCAACTTTAACCCTGTCCATTCCACGTTAGGCTAGGGACACGGTGACACGGACAGGGACAGTCAGTTGCTGTCACAGCAACACATCAAAAAGCTTGCACGCCAAAACCGCTCATGATTTCTTTTAAAACACACCTACCCGGCTATGTTGAACACGGACAGGCACAGACAGCAACAGCCAGCGACAGTCAGGAAAATTCGAAAAAAGCGTGCACTACTTCTCCTGTCTGTCTTAAATAAAGATACGATCACAGTGATTGTTCTTGTCAAGATAGAGGATTTTGAAGAGAAACTGATCATTGCGGTGCAAGAAATGCCAGCAATTTATGACAAGAGCGAAAAACATCACGCTAATCGTGATTATATATTGAAGCAGTGGGAGACCATTGGCCATGAATTGGGGTCGGATGGTGAGTGTTAAAAAAAATAGATTCATGATGTGACCACATTTCCCTGTGCCTGTCCGTCCCTGTGCGACAGCAAGTAGCTGTCCCTGTCTGTCCGTGTCACCGTGTTCGTACCCTAATGTTGTCTTCCCGTCTCTTTTTTCTGTCTGCCTTTCCTTCTCCCTCCTATTATTTTGCCGTGTAGGATTATATTTGCAAATCCTGTTGATCCTGTTATGTGCCCATACCATCTCAAGTTGTATGTGTTTTATTGTTTTTAAAATGTAGATGACTTTACGCCCATCATTGACACAATTTTAAGCGTTTAGAAAGCGGGCATCCGACCTTCCCAGCTTGGGATCAGGGCTCCCACCAACAACCAACGTCTCTGTCTATCTGATGGGCTGCTATATCCCACACAACCCTGGGTGACATAGTCAAACAATAGCGAAGTAGTTACATCCTATGATCTAAATTGTGCCGATAGCTATGTTAAATGGTTGTTATAATTTGTCTCTCCCAGTTTCTTGATAAAAGTATACAATTTAAAAATAATGAATGCTAATTTTGTCAAAACTATCATTTTTGAATAGACAATTTAATTAGCATGCAATATGACAAAGAAATCTTTTTCTTCTGAACTGTAGGCTTCACCTAACGAAATGCAATACACCTTACCCAAATAAAACACGGCCACTCCGATGATGCTCCAAACGTACATGTTGACAGCGGTCCCAGAGATTGTGGTAGCCAGACACGAAGTGCCAACTTATATATTATTATACATGTCCACGCTCAAACTGTGGTCCAGTTACGTTTTATGGAGAAGTCCACACACCACGTACGTTTTGGAGAGCTTATCTTTGTTTTTTTTTGCTTTACTGGAGGATAACGTTCGTAAAATGCTAACAATTTACCGCTGTTGGTTTTCTTTTTTTTTGGAGGGAAGCACACTCTGTGATCACATTAATTTACTGCATCATGTTAAACTGGTTCTGGGCTGTCTGCTCCAAAAACTGTAAGCAGATTAGTAGGCTATCGTCTAAAAATCTTTCGGGAAATGCAAGGCACCCAAATCATAAAGATGATGGCTATAAAAAAAATAAAAAATAATAATAATAATAATAATAATAATAATAATAATAATAATAATAATAACAATAATAATAATAACAATAATAATAACAATAATAATAAACAACATTGGTGCTGCTTATTTCTTTTTTCTAAAAAAAAAAATATTATTTAAAAAAACCTCAGTGCGTATTACAACCAAAGAGGTGTCACTTGTTAAAATTATTGACGTATGCTCTCGTCAAAAGTGTTGTTTGTATTGTTTAACTTGTTGTAATGTGAACAACAAACTTGTCTGCAAGATGTTATAGATGTGACAGAGCAGTCTTCTGTTGTAAAGTCATCACAATTTGTTTCCACTCAGGACAGCTTGACCATTGTGCCTGTTTATAAGTGGACAGAGTCTTTAGGTGTGGACTTCAGCAGACTGTCCATTTTACCGTTTTTACTTTGAAGAAGGCTCTGTCAGTGTGCAGGAAATGATCCCCTCAAGATATCCCATTCCCAATACTATTTTGAAACCAAAGACACAATTAGCTGTCAATGTATCTCCTCTTTGAAGGAAACAAAAGGTCTATCTCACAAGCGCCAGTGGTACTTATACAATGAAATCAGGCCTTTTGTTGCACCAGAGCATCAGGATGACGTGTGCCCACTTCCTACCTACTAGTGAGCAAGAACCTTCTTCAGATTCAGATTCAGAATCTAAACCAAAGAAGCTGAGGCGGGAAAGTGTTGGACAGGGGGAGAGGCGTTGACGTGAGTGCACAGGCTGGGATGAGGTGTAAGGGGAAGGTCGCAGTAAAAAAAAAGCCCTCATGACTTTTCTAATTTCTTTTTATTTGTAATTTATTAAGAAAGCAACTGAATAGTGTATGCGTGTATAAAGTCTTCAAAACTGTTATCGTTTCAGTTTATACTCATGCTGCTACTCTGACTATTTCTCAATCTCTCTGATTATGCTTTCTTTTATCTTTAATTGATCAATTAATAATCTTTCTCATCAATGAAAAGTCTGCATAGTGCTTGTAGAGTCTACATAGAATTATGAAGCTGTTAAATTAAAAGGTTTTCAAGGTATACTCTTTTTACGTTCTCCTAGTTTTCCATATTTTGCTCAATGCAGTGTAGAAATAATTATTAGATACTGTCAGTATGGTCCTTTTAGTTCTATGTTGCAAGTATAAAATTATATGCAAGTATACTATTATCATGGTTATGTGCACAGATGTGTGTGGAAATGGGAGAGAGGATGTGTGAGGAAAGAGTGTGTGTATGTATGGGTGCGCATGATTATGTGTGTATGAGGGGGGGGAGGTGTATGTGTGTGTGTGTGTGTGTGTGTGTGTGTGTGTGTGTGTGTGTGAGAGAGAGAGAGAGAGAGAGAGAGAGAGAGAGAGAGAGAGAGAGAGAGAGCGTTTGTGTGAGGGTGTGTATGGGCGTACGTGGTGAAACACCAAACAATGTGCCTGGATCTGGACAATAAAGATGTACAAGGGCTGTCCCCCCGGAAAACCGAAGTTTGGCTGTAATTTTAAAAGTATTCAATATTTTTACATTCTGTGTCTCAGAATTTGTTGAATCGTTGTCGCCAAGCTGTCACGGGAGTCATGAACGCGTCTGGAGACCTCCAACAATACGATGAAGCATTCCTGAGAAGCATTATTACAGGTGATGAGACTTGGATACACCACATGAGCCTAAGACGAAGAGGGATTCAGTGGTTTGGAAGCACACGTCTTCACCTCCCCCGAAAAAGTTTAAAGTTCAGCCATCGTTGAAGAAACTCATGGACACGGTTTTCTGGGATTCTAAGGGTGTTCTGCTTCTTGACATTCTGGAACCAGGACAAGCTGTTAATGCTAACAGATACTGTCAGACTCTTGATAAGTTGAGAGAGGTTGTGCGCCGAAAAAGACCAGGCCTGTTGTCTAGCGGGGTCATTTTGCAGCATGACATCGCAACGCCACATACCGCAAACGCTACGAACCACTGGATCCAAAGTTTCAGCTGGGAAGTTCTGCCACACACCCCTCACAGTCCTGACTTGGCTCCGTCGGATTGTCACCTTTTTGGACCAATGAAACGCCATATTTCTAGACAGCGATTCACCGACGACGAAGACCTTGTGGAATCCGTGAAAGATTGGTTGAACTCCCTTGACGAAAAATTCTTCATGAAGGGTATCTTCTCCCTGATCCAGCAATGGGAAAAATGCATCCAGCGAGATTGTGATTACATTGAAAATAAAGCACGACATGTTGAGGTATGATGTGTTACATTTTTATTATAATAGGACAAAGATTGTTGCTTTTATGGACCTTTTCCAGTTTTCCGTGGGACAGACCTCGTATCTTATCTTATATCGTAACATGTACAGAAATGTTCTTTGTTGACCCTTTTTTGAATTTTAATAAAGATAGAGCTACATGACTGATTGTTCATGTTCACAACATCTTAATTTGGAGAAAAAGTGCACTTTTCAGAATTGTCAGTTCAAAGTACAGACTACTTGGAGATAACGACCAATTCTCTCGGACTCCTTTCTTTGTCTATAAAAAAATTGCAGCACTTTAATAATCAACATGGCACTACCAACTGCATGTTCGCTTTTTTTGTTGTTGACTGACTGATTTTTTTCCAAACTGGCATTCATCAATTCTAATTGAATTCTAAAGCATTGAATTCTAAAGCATTGAATTCTATACCAAGCAAGAACGATACGCTCAGCTAGATTATTTGGAAAATGAGCAAGGACGCAACAATACACACATGAGATCGATTCCCACACCAGTAAGGCTATCTTATCAAGTATCTCCTACCCTTTCAGTAGATCAAGTATCTCCATTCTTTTTGCTGGGCTTGTGTATCCCACACAACACGTGTTGGCCCCTGACAGGCAGGGTCGAAACAACACCACCCGCCAAATAAATAACCAACATTATGTCGATGGCAATGCAAAACATTTACATCCATTTTCCTCTCCAAAAGTCTGTCTGTCTGTGTGTGCGTGTGTGTTCGTGTGTGCGTGCGTGCGTGCGTG